CCTGCGCCTTTGCCGTCACTTAGGCGAAGCAGCGAACGAGCGGCACAGTGGGCCACGTGCAATGACTTCCCCTGAGAGCGTGTCCAGCTTTGTTTGCTCGTTGTGTGCGTCCCACTGTGCCAAGTTCCGTTTATTATAAATGCGTAAAAATAGCACAGAGCGTGGCCAGAGCCAGAGAGCCAGAGAACCAGAGCCGCAGCCAGGCAGCCAGACGAAGCATAAAACAAACGGCGAGGCACTCAACCAAGTCGCCTTCCAGAGTGGAGTCAGAGCCAGAGCCATTGTTTTTGGAGCTACTTGTACCAGACAGCAGCAGCAGCAGTTGTTGCCACTTGCAGCGTTTTTCAGATGTTGCTGCTGCTACTGGAGCATAAGGTACCCCCACCCGGACGAGCCGATGCCATAAAAGTACAGGCGGGCCAGCTAAATGGAACAGGTAGGCCAAGCCAGCCAGAGAGCCAGCTGTTCACGCTCTAAAAAAAAAGGCTATGACTTATTTCGGCGCTTATTTGCCGTGGTCTTAGTCAGAATGGGAAACTGTGTAGATCGCCCGAGTAAACCTGAGTCAGGGCCCAAAGTGTTTCATTTCAGTGAAAATATTTACAGTAAATAATTGCTTGGGACAGACAGAACCTTGATCTGCGCCGAGGTTTGCATTGCCTGAGTGCCCAAAGACTGTGACTTCAACGAGGGTGTATCAATAGCCAGACGTTGCCTCATTTTGCGCTCAATTTAAATTAAATTTAAAGTTCGCTGAGCATTACCCAATCAACGCTACTCTGTCCTTCCCGCTGTTTGGTGCTGCGGCGTGCGAGTGCCATTCGATATCTATGACAATTTAGGCCACGGCTTCTTCATTTCGTACTTATCTATTTCAAAGATATGAAAACTCTAAGCACGAGACACTGGCAGCCAAATGGCTGGTGGGTTTCATATCAAAATTGTTGGCTGCTTACTGCAGATAAAACTCTGACATAAAAATCATAATTACACAGCAACGAATTTAGAATTTAAAACTTAATTTGAAGCGGAACTGCTTCCCGACCTTGAGCCTGAGCCAGTGGAAATCTTAATGGAAGTTTGTGGCCAAAACCCAATCGAAATGAAATTATATTTGCCCTGCCCCTAAACCCAATTAAAGGAAATTACAGAGCCCAAAAAGCGAAGCTGTCAAACAGAACGTCGCGTGGGAGAAGTAATCCTATTTGGCGGACCTCAGACTTGCCTTCGACATCTGTCGGATATGTGGGGGGGGAGCCACACCCGCAAATACTGGATACTGGAAAAGCATAAACCAATTACACAAATGCCCCCTACCCATGGGTACAACTGTCAAACGCTTTATTGGTTTTTCCTGCATTGTAAATTTAAGTTCAATTCGACTCCACACGCGCGCTACGGGAGAGTATTTATGGGCAATGCAAGAGCGCAACAAATGGAGCCAAGCCAAGCCCTTATCCGCCATGGAGTGGGGGAACTTTTGAAGGTTTTTCCCTATACGCAGTGGAGTGTGGTGAAGCGCATCACAGATTGACTCACAACCCCCCCCCCCCCCCCCCCCCCCCCCC